TTCCTGCTCTTCTATGCGCGTGAGATGTGATGATGGACAGGCCTGTTTCTAGGTGCGCTCATGAAGAAGGGTTTTCAGCCGTGGAAAAGTGGGGGGCAAGTTTGCATTCACAGTCTGGTTTGGCTTGTAAAGCTGCAGAGGCCCGAGGGTAGAATCCTAATCCCCTGCTTCTCACTCATACACTTTGGTGGCTGTTCATTATTAACAATGACTGTTAATTAACAATTAGCATTTCCTGCTCAGCACAGAAGATAAATGCGGCTTTACTGGGAAGACTGGCGATGAGACTTTGGGTGCCCAACTGAGACACCTGAAAGGAGCCTGATTTCCAGGAAACACTGAGTATCCAGCTCCGTTACAGCGTGTTTGTCTGGATGCCCAAAATTGCTTGTCACTTATGAAAATCTGGCCACCACTAACAACACATGCGACTGTTGCTGGGGCCCTCTTGCCATGTTCTCTCCTGAGCTGTGGCAACACCGTTTCAGGGGATGGTGACAGTAGATATCCCTGTCTGTTCCCATCTCCCCCTTTCCTTTCTAATTGAATTGTTTCACAGCTGCTCTGCTTTGGCTTTGATGGTTGCTAGCAAGGAGCCATGCATGGGAGAAAGACCACACTGGGGACAGAACCAGCTGGACCCAGTGCTCCAGCTCCTGCTGTCAAAGTCACCCAAAGGAGCTGTGAATCGTGCCCTGTGAGTTGGTACAGATGGAGGGAGTGGGTGTAGCTGCTGGAGAAGGCGAGGCCTGGGCAGAGGGCACTGGTGTCCTGTGCCCATAGTGACAAATAACCAAGTGGTGTAAATACTGGTAGTACCTGATGCTGAGGAGCAGGGCATCTCTGGCTGCTGTGGGTACCAGACACCCCAGTGGGTGTGGGAAGGAGCCAGGCTGTTGGCAGCGTTCAGTGCCCCTCTCCTGACACATTGCAAAGTCCTGGGGAATGTGCCACTTTCTGGGCAGGCCTGGTACCAGAGCCATTCCTGTGGCATCAGGGCCCTATCATGCTCTGTGCTGTATGTCAGGGCCTGGCTCATGCCAGGGTGAGGCAGGGTGCAAACAAGCACAGCCTGCCACACTGGTCTGTCCTGAGTCCCAAGAGACCCTGGGCACTACTGCTAGAGCATTACACACATGGAATGGGACTGGATGGGCAGCCAGTGTTCAGGCTGGGATTCAGGCCTTTGCAGTGAATAACTGGATTTCCACGCCCTCCCTGCTGAGCACAGGGCAGTTTCTACTCCCAAGCCAGGAAGGTCTAGTTCACTGATTCTCAGCCCAGTGTCACGGCAGCCTGGGGTACTCTGAGACCCTGTTCAAGGTAACACTCAATGTGTGCCGTGCTAGGTGTGCAAACACCTTCACGTGATTCACAAGATAAACCCAGAGAGTTCAGATAGGAATCTGGAGTACCAAAAAACACTGCTCTGTGTGACAGGAGAATTGCTTTAGCATTTTTCTGTAGTAAAGAGCAGCTTTCAAGCTGAGAGCTGGCATTTTTCGGAGGGTGCCTCAAGTCTAAAAAGGTTGAGAACCACTGGTGTAGTTGGTGGCCACTCACTCCATCAGAGGATCTCGAGGACCTTTACAGAGTGTGCATGCTTTCTGAGGGAGGGAGGGAGCCACCGTTATCCTCATTTGACACATACGGGGAACTGAAGCATGGAGCAAGGGCAAGTAACTTGCCCAGGGTGACAGAGAGTAAGTGTCAGAGGCTGGACTCTGACTGTGATATCTCTTGCTGAATTCATTTAAGCAGGACTAAATGTGCGCTGATATGGGGCTGCTCCCAGTGAGCTTGCACAGATCGTCATATCACCCCTGCTTCCTGCAAGCTGCCCTGGGATTACAGCCGGATCCTAGAGGATCCTGACTGGGTATGATCCCAGCACTCGTTCCTGCCCAGGGCAGGGGGTCGGACTTGATGATCTGTTCAGGTCCCTTCTGACCCTAGAAACTATGAAACTATGACAGACCAAGGCGGGAGAGGCTGGCTGGGGTGTGAGGCTGCTCTTCACCTGGGCAGCTCTACCTCCCCAGAGCCCGTTGCTTCGAAGTGGGGAGGCTACATAGTAGGTCACTGACTGCGGTTTCATAGTTTTTAGGGGCTGGAAGGGATCTTACAGATCATCGGGTCCGGCCCCCCTGCACTTGGGCAGGAAAGACCGCTGGAGTAGGATGATCCCAGAAAGCTGGGCATCAAGATGCTAAGTTTGCTGTCAGGTGTTATAAAATGTCAGAAGGCCCTTGGGGATGCTGTGCCGCTGTGTTGCCCAAGGCCCCAGGGTGGCTGGGTGGTTGGGCTGAAGCCTTGGAGAGGTTGTCCCAAAATGGAGCTGAGGCCCTGGCTGCTGCTGCCTGTGAGCCCTGATCTGTGGGCTGTGGCGTGTTCATCAGCAGTGATGTGGGCTCGTTCCAGCCATCTTAACCAAGCACGGTGAGGCTCCCTGTGCTCCTGCCATAGCACAGGCCATTCCAGCCTGGAGTCAACGAAACAACTTGTCACCGGCTGTAACCAGAGCCTTGTGCCACGTGAAAGGAGCAGGACTCGGAGGAGCTGGGTGCTGCTCTGAGACAAAGGCGAGCGGGAGCCTGCGCTGCTGCTGATTCCCAGGATTGTGTCTCTGAGCTGTGAGAAAGTGGGTCCATCTCCGCCCCGTGGACAGAGCCTGGTTCTCAAGCTGAAGCAGTAGCGATGTAGGCGTCCAGCTCTGGAGTCCCCCATGAGCCAGCCAGGATGGAGGCCCCCAAGCTCTGTCTCTTCCATCGTCACGTCACGCCACGCCACGCAGGCCCTTTTCCCCAGGGATGCCCCAGCTGGAAGCAGTGGCACTCGAGGGCCCCGGGCTGCCTGGGTTGATGCTTTGAGGAGGTGGCCCAAGGATGGAGTCGAGCCCCTGGCTGCTGCAGCCTCTGAGCTGTGGGCTGAGGCACGTTCACCACCAGCAGTGTGGGCTCATGCCAGCCGTCTCCTCAGCCGAGCACAGTGGGCAAAGCTGCTCTGCCAAAATAGGACACTGGCCTATTGCTTCCTGCCCCTGCAACACCTTGGGCTGCTGCATGTGGAGCCCCCATTTGGGGCCTATATCCTGCCTCCAGCTGAAGCTGGTACCCCACAACCTGCTGTCACACCAGCAGCCGGGGCAGCCTCCTTCCCCGTTGCCATAGAGATATTTGCAGTCTCCCCTGGCTTGTTCACAATGAACCAGCTTCCATGCCCAAACTTTGCCAGCAGTGGGTGGGAGGCAGGGGGCATGCAGGCAGCTCACAAGGGGGAAGGTGGCTGCAGCTGATTTCCATCAAATGCAAAACGTTGCCATGCCTTCACCTTCATGCAAGGACGTGGCCAGGAAAAGACTGCAGGTCCCATCTCAGTCGTGTCAGGAAGCTGCATGCCCCAGCCCTGCAGAGGCTCAGCCCCTGGCTGTCCTGCCTTAGGGCAAGGGGCAGGTTGCACCATTGTGAGCTCTCCTGCCGCAGTTTTCTTTGATGCGCCCACGCAACAAAATCCTCCTCCTCTTCCTCCTCTCTTTGGTCTGGAGATGACCCAGCCCGCTCAACAGTTCTCTTTTCATTCCCAGAGACTCTGGTTTGTTCCTAACCTGCTGAGCTTGACACGTGGGCTCTTTGTGAGCCGCACAGGCTGACGTTCCTTCTCTTGTCTCTCTCTGCAGGAAAGAATCTCTACACAAATGAATATGTAGCTATAAAATTGGTGAGTCTCTTCTCCTCCACCCACCCCTCGCTGCCCAGGTTGGCTCATGTTTCAAATTTGGGGGAGATGGGGGGATTTTATCTCTTAGACTAACTCTTAAAATGAGTCGGGCAGGGCCAGGCTGTACATGGTAACTATGCAGACATGCCCTGGTGAGGGTTGCACATCTAGGGTCCCCCACAGCAGTGATGGTGATTGCGAGGGGGGACGAGGTGGGCACCAGAAGCCCGCGATCCTGAAGCTCAGAGCAGGAAATGTCTGGAAGCAGCAGGGAGGGTGCAGTAGCCAGTACCTTGGAGCCTGGCATTTACTCAAAGCAGGACAGGATGAGGCTCTACAAAGCTCCTGGTGCTGAGGAAGGAAGGGCCTATCCCAGGGGCGGCCTCCCCTGCTGTCCCACTGCTCCCTCGGTGCACAGAGCTGTGACGGGCCAAGCAGAGGACCCGTCAGGACACGGATTCCCTCTGCTTGCCTGGGTTTTCCATCACCCCAGGGAGCAAAACTGGAGGAGGGAGCCCATCCCTTGGTGTCTGCCCCCCTCTACAGTAACCTCAGACAGTGCACGCGGGCTTCAGTAGGACTCAGGACCCAGGCCTTGCCCTTCGTGCCTCCCCACTAAGGCATCCCCATGTACCTTCCCTCCCTAATGCCTGCCACAGTTCCCTGCCCAAAGGAATGTGCCCAAAGCGGGGCTTCCCCAGTGCTTCCCTCGCCCTCTGCCGCTCGCTGGACTCCTCTTGATTTTTACCCCCTCACTCTCTGTTTGTTCAATTTCCACCCAAAGGAACCCATAAAATCGCGGGCCCCGCAGCTGCATCTGGAGTACCGGTTCTACAAGCAGCTCGGAAATGCAGGTAAGACACGGGCAGTGCGGGAGGGCAGGCGTGTGCCGGGGCAGGGGCTGCTTGGCCTGGAAGCACGGGCCTAGGAGCGTGCAGGTAGCTCTTGGTTGCCAGCCCGTCCCTGCATCTCTGCTCCGCGTGCCTGCCTAAGCTGCTGGTGCCCATCTGCTCAGCTGACGAAGGCAGATTTTCCACAGAGCTACTTCTAATCTTTGAGCCTTTATTTTCCAGCCCCTCCTCCTCCTCCCCTCCCTGACCTCCCCCCACCTCCCGTGCTGGTGTCCGGGATTCTGGCAGGTCACCTGCCATCCTCTCCCCCACATCTCTCCCCCAAGAGGCAGCATATCAAGCCCACCTTGTGATGGGGGTGAGTTGGCTCCTCCACCTACCCACCTCAGGGGGTGCTAAGTTGGGGCTACCCTGAGAGCCCTGTGCAGGAGAAGGTGGGGTGCCCTTATCCCCTTTTCTCAGGAGGAAGTTGGTGGCATCTGGGAGCCACCAGTGCAGGTTCTAGGGCCAGATGGGAACCTGTAGGCCTTGGCCTTGCTTTCTCTGGTTTCCTCCCATGCCAAGGCCTTGTTTCCTGCTTCCTTCCCCCACTCTTGGGTGGAGTTTGAATGTCAGACCTCCCTGGAAGGGGTCACCTCTGTCCTGCACACTGGCTTGTACCCAAACCTGCCACCTCCTGGTCAGACAGCATCAGGGACCTAAAGGGGAGCCTCTTCCTCGTGTCTCCATTGCCCAGGCCAGCAGAGGAACAGGGCAGGGGGGCTTTGCAGAGCAGTGTGTGGGTAAGGGCCCAGGGCTGGGATGATGAGGGTGGTTCAGGTTGGGATTGAGGGGCCGTAGCATTGCCCACAAACCCAGCACCTGACTGCTGGCTGTTTCATTCCATGGGACCAGGCTTATTTTCATTCTGGCTTCACCTTGAATCTGGTGGGCAGGGAGGAAGCCCTGGTAATGCTGCGATGGCTGCAGGGCCTCCGGGGCACAGTGCCATGCATCCGCCCAGGCCATGGCCACCCGGTGATCCCAGATGACCCCAGTGAGCTCCCAGGCTGCCTTTGCCCTTCCTGCATGCCTAGGAGCAACTGGGCCCTCACCTCCAAAATGCTAGTGTAGGAGAGGAGAACTCCCCTATTAAAGCCCTGCCTTGGGAGGGAGGTGAGGTCTTTGCTGTTGCTTTGTTGACCCCTCGGCACTGACTGATATGCATTAGCAGCACAATCCCATCAGTGCCCTCCTTCCAGGTTCCTCCATCCCCCGTGTTTGGGGCCATTGTTAAAGCTGGGAGGGAAGGGGCCTCATTCCTAATCTCACCCCCCACACACTCATGCTTTGGCTGTTGCAGAAGGAATTCCTCAGGTTTACTACTTCGGCCCCTGCGGGAAGTACAATGCCATGGTGCTTGAGCTCCTGGGCCCCAGCCTGGAAGACCTATTTGACCTGTGCGACCGGACCTTCACGCTCAAAACCGTCCTGATGATAGCGATCCAGTTGGTAAGCGCTGCCCTATGCCTCACTGCGCCTTGGGCCTGGGCTTCCTGCGGGCTACAGCTGATGCCCTCTCATAGAGTCCTAGTGGACTAACCTGAGGAAGGAAGGACTCTGTCAGCTGCCTCTCTCCTCCCTTTGCCTCTGGGTTTGGCATGGTCTGCACTCCCAGGGCTGCACAATGGGCGTCTGGGATGAGGGGATATGTCAGGGGACCTGAGCACATTTATGGAGCCTGGGCTGATGGAGGAATTGGGCAGGGGCCTTGTCTCATAAGAACTCTTCTCCCTCTTCTTCTGGGTGTGCTCAGGGGGAGGTAGGTGGTGTTGTTTCTCTGCAGCAGATGGAGCCCTGGACTGAGACCCTGGGGTCTTGTCCCAGCCCTGCCTTTGCAGGAGCAGCAAGTCCCTGCTTTTTCCTCACAGAAATGGGGATAGTGCTGCCGGGGCAACTGTGAATATTTGAACCCAGGAGCAAACAGAGTGCCCAGCACAGGGTCCCCACGATCTGCCTGTGTTGTCCTGCCTATCAGAGCCTGCAGAGTGTCTGTGCTCATCCACTTTCCCCACTGCCCCTCTTTCAGCCAGGACCAGGCTCCTCTCCCAGCCACATGCCCTGTGGGAGGGCAGAGAAGCTAATGGCAGATGGGACCCACTCCCCTAGGATACCTGGCCTTTCCCATGGAACTAAAGCCCATCAGGATTGGAGCTCCCAGCCTGCAACATTGCATGGAAAGGGGGTGCTCTCAGATTGGGAGCTGCAGTCTTGGGTTGCATTCAGCATTATTCTGGGTGCAGGGCTGGCCTCCTAACCCTGACCGTGGGGGAATTGGGCTCGATCCTGTGATCGAGAAGACTGCGCATAAAATGATCCATTTCAGTTTTAAAATATGCCCAACAGAGGTTCTGTGGAAGGAGAGGGGGAATGGGCAGGGCGGGCTTCGGGGGAGCTCACCCTGGGGCAACAGTGGCACGTGAGCAGAATTGGGCCTGGCAGGTGCAGGTCAGACAGCCAGGTATTGCCCATGCTGTAGCTTGGGTTTGTCTGGTGCTGACGCCAGCTCTCCCCTCCCACCCAGATCACACGGATGGAATATGTTCACACCAAAAGCCTCATCTACAGAGACGTCAAACCAGAGAACTTCCTGGTAGGGCGACCAGGGAGCAAGCGGCAGCACACCATCCACATCATCGATTTTGGCCTGGCCAAAGAGTACATCGACCCTGAGACCAAAAAACACATCCCTTACCGCGAGCACAAGAGCCTGACAGGGACCGCACGATACATGAGCATCAACACACACCTCGGGAAAGGTACAGGGCACTACTCCCAGAGAAAACCAGCTGAGTCAGCCCCACTGGGTCATGGCACACCATCTGCGGTGCTGAGGGATGGGGAGGAGAAGGGCTGAGACTCCAGGGAAGAGC